AGGAAACCATCTTCGCAGCTTCGCAAAAAAGAGCTTAACCATGTTGTTGTTATTTAATCCGTATTCTGATTTATTGTCTTGAGCCATTGTATTTTCTTAGGAAGCTTTTTTTCTCTTATAATCCTATGATTTTAGATTATGTTCTTGCTAATGAGATCTGTACTTCGAATTACTAAGTATAGGAATAAATTTCTTACTTTTCTCGTGTTATGGTTTCTAAAAATTAAATTTTAACTTAAAACTGAAAAACAACCTTTTTTAATTGCATTATTATTTAACTGCAAATGGAACATATCTGTTAATTCCTAACCATTATTTTAGATAATTCTTTAATTTGATAATTTCCCATTCCTATGCAAAGCTGATTTATGTAGACATTTTCGTCACACCTGAGCTTCCCAGTTAAGACCCCTTTTCTTAAAGACCTCAAGGCAGTTGAGTTGGGGCCGCATTAGAACCGGGCACATCAAAATGAGGAAACTGGTCTATATGTAATGTAAGACACGAGTTCGTCCACTTCCACGATCACGTTTGCATGGTGAAAACAAACCAAACCAGACGAGCAGACACTCGAAAAAAAGGGGACGATAGCCGACTCGCCTTGGCAAGAAGTAACCTGTCAGTTACCAAAATGAGTGCACAGCCATTTTCCGCAGCATGCTTTACTTTGCTTTGCCTTAGATTACGCTTTTTGTTTTGCTATTTCCCAGCTCCAGCCGCCTTTTGGCCACTTTCTAGCAGCAGACTGTAAGAGTCTAAGAACCGTCGGGCAAATTGCACCACTTTGTGGCGTTCTGGTGGCGAGTCGGCCCAAGAGGCGTCATTATCATGGCCATTACCGGCTGCAGTCTACCTTACTGACACCATAAATGGTCCGGCTGTGCCCTCCGAGCCACGGAGTTATGTGCTTTAGGTCCAAAAAGGGGGCCTCTTAAGCGAGTGTGTGTGTGTTCTCGAGAATCTGGAGTTACTTTCCTCTGTTACCTCTGCTGCGTGGAGCAATCGAGCTGCGAGATCTGCAACTCTACCCCCAATCGAATATGACGTGCTCAGGCGTTTATTTCTCCAGCGTTTCTAAGAGCCAACCTGAGGAGATATCGCATTTGTCTCTGGCGTATTCTTGGAGCTTTAGCTTATAGAAAAGAACGATTTTTATTTGAAATTTTTAACACCATTTTCTAAAAAGTAGACATAAGCTATACGGAAAATAAACTAAAAATCCATTATGATCTTTTTTTTTAAGAGATTCCTTAAGTTTTAAACATGAGAATCCTTTATTTCGTGGTTCAGAAATTAAAGGATACATATATCTCAGAACTAATCGTTAAAATTAAGGTTTATTTAGTAAATTTGATATAGGACTTTATTCTTTACTTCCGAATTCTAAACAATTAAAGATTTTTACTTTTAAACTTTTTCCTCAGATCCAAAGGTGAATATGTACATATTTTATTTATGTAAATACTGCTACCCGCCCAACTTCCTCACTTTTACAGTCATTTTGCCGCTTTTGATTTAGTTACAACGTCTATTATGGGTTCACACAGTTCACATGGCTCATGGATTTTGAGAACACGACAACAATAAATAAAGATTCATCGGGTTTTGGGGGGTGGGATCGGGTGAGAGACTGGTATTATGTGGCTGGCTTGCATACTATATTCAGTTAGCACTTGCCGTAACTCTTCTCGCCTTTGCTTATATTTATTCGAGAGTGACTTCATTTTCTCAGGGCTGAGCCGAGCGATCTAAGGTGACATGCAACCCCCGTTTCGGCCTTTTTTTATACACTTTTTATCGTATAACGTTCCATTGTTCCGAACAATGTGCACCGCACACTCTTTTTTTTCCACATGCATTATAAAACAAGCACATAACTATACGAGCACCTGAATATATATATAGGTGTTTCATTTGCACATAGCACACTTACGGCGCTTATTGTTTAAGCTTTTCGATTGCCAAACGCCCCGAAAATTTTAAGAAAAAATTTGAGCACGTATGGCGGAGATTAGGAGCCAAGTACACCGGCTGGTCAGTTGTGCTGATGACAGCAGAGCTGGAGAATTTTGAATTAATTAGTCTAGGTCTAGAATCTAGAGTCTCCGCTCGCAAAAATAACGGTCAGTTGGGAGGGCACAAAAAATGGAAATGCGAGGCAAGAAATGTGCGGCCCACAACGAACCATGGTGCATTTGCCAAGGAAAAAAGAAAGAAGCGAAAATACAGAAAATATAGAGAACGAAAGGTAAGAAGCCAGAAATGGGTAGGGAAAGAACTGCCTCTGGCAGCTAACCTCAAGTAAACTTGGGTTCTGGTTCAGGCCAAAACCGAAGAGAGATATAGAGGAAAAAACCTGATGACTCAGTCACGAAGCACAAAGTTGATGGCTTCCCCTCGGGAAAGTGGCGGAAAGTATGGGGAGTGGGTGAGCTGTGGGTGGGGGAGAGTGAGGGGCACCTTCCTCTACTTCCCGACACTGCAGTTAAGTAAAATATTAAAACAAAAGATAATGGCCAAGTGCAAATATTTACCTAGCAATGCATTCTACAGCGGATATTACGCGTTTGTATGCCATTTCCTTCGGAACAATTCTAAATGGGCCACGCAAATAGTAGGTAAACACTCGATTAAGAACGAAAACAAGAGTGACTTTAGTAGTTTCCACTTAATTTAAGACACTATTACTGTAAATGCTAAAAAATAGATTCTTAAAGATAAGAGATAAGGAAAATAGCCTTGAGATTTTAGCAACATCTTATGATAAATTGAAAGCAATTGTTCAAAAGGTTTCTCAAATTTTAAGCAACGCTTTTTTTTCACCAAATTAAATCGCTAGTTTTGTAGAACATTGGAAAAATATTTGTTTAATTAAATACATTAATAATATTATTAACGTCTCAACAAGTGTGTAGAAAGAGCAAATGAGGTGTGGACCATTAATTCTCTACGGTTATCAAATACTAAGTTTATTTTCTGCATGCAAATAGTAAAGTGGAACGGCAATTAAAATTGAGCAAATAAAAATTTCAATGGTGGCAATCAGGGAAATTAAATGAAAAAAAAAAAAAAAAAAAAAAAAAAAAAATTTTAAAAAAAAAAAAAAAAAAAAAAAAAAAAAAAAAAATTTTTTTTTTTTTTTTTTAAAAAAAAAAAAAAAAAAAAAAAAAAAAAAAAAAAAAAAAAAAAAAAAAAAAAAAAAAAAAAAAAAAAAAAAAAAAAAAAAAAAAAAAATTTAAAAAAAAAAAAATAAAAAAAAAAAAAAAAAAAAAAAAAAAAAAAAAAAAAAAAAAAAAAAATTTTTTAAAAAAAAAAAAAAAAAAAATTAAAAAAAAAAAAAAAAAAAAAAAAAAAAAAAAAAAAAAATTAAAAAAAAAAAAATTTTTTAAAAAAAAAAAAAAAAATAAAAAAAAAAAAAATTAAAAAAAAAAAAAAAAATAAAAAAATTATTTTTTAAAAAAAAAAAAAAAAAAAAAAAAAAAAAAAAAAAAAAAAAAAAAAAAAAAAAAAAAAAAAAAAAAAAAAAAAAAAAAAAAAAAAAAAAAAAAAAAAAAAAAAAAAAAAAAAAAATTTAAAAAAAAAAAAATAATTTTTTTTTTTTTTTTTTTTTTTTTTTTTTTTTTTTTTTATAATGTACATAAAGCAAAAATGAGAACTTTGATATCGCCGCAATGGAAGCAAGGTACAGTAATGACATCTGAGACTATATCATTCAGAATATGAATTTCATATATAAGCAGTGAATGAATGAAGTTTACACATACTGTTTGCGCATTTGCCAATATAAATATTTAAATAACTTCTAAGATGGCATTGAAAATAAGATATTAAATATTATTTGACCAACGAAATTTTTATAGTCAACCTTTTAAGATTTGAATACTAACTAAACTAAATATTATTACAGCCCACTGAGGGTAACCACATCATCCCTGGTCTTTTAATGACTCAAGATCACCACTGCGATTACGATATTTACTGATGACATAGATAACTCTCGCACTTAATCACTAAACATAGTCGGGGTCTTATCGCAATTTATGGGTGGGTTCTGTAAGCGTAGGGCCAAAGAGTTAACTACGGTCTGGACTAGCTAATTATAGCGGAAGTCGAAAATGCAGCGCCAATACTACGTAGTTTAGCATTGAACTTGCCGAGACGATCGACCAAGCGATCGCGACTGACTGACTTTCCAGGGGCTTATCAAGGTGGGCCAGGTTTCAGCGAAACTTCGTTAAAATATACGGCAACAGCAACTGTGATGACCGCCAGTTAAGGCAAAAAACAAAAGGCAGTTGCCAAAGAGGAACGGTAAGGAAGGAAAAGACAGTGGAAATTGCCTTTAATACTTATAATATGTACCCACTAAAACATAAAAAACTTTAAAAAAATCCAAAATCTATCAAAAATTTGTTAAAACTTTAGAATTTAAAAACGTGTCGTAACTTTTGTAGATTTTTTTGAGAATAAAAAAGTTTAAAAAGTTAATAAAAACAGGATTTAATTCCCAGTTGTCGTATGAGGTGTGAAAAAGCTCTCCAATTAGTTTTACAGGAAAAACATGTATCAAAATGTAAATATTCTTTTCATGTGCCTCCTGACCGGAATAACAGCTAACCGGTATTCACTGTACTACAGGCAACCGAAAAAGTGGAAGAACATGAGCACGGGAGCGCACGAAAACACACAAAAAACGAGGAACGTGTGTGCATGAGAAATGCAAAGGTAAGGTAAGGTAAGGAAAGGCTGGAGGAGATGGGGTTGGGGGAAGGGGGTTACGGGAAGGCAAGGAGAACCGAGTCAGGAGCGACAACCGCAGCACGAAACTGGTCGGACGGGTCGCTATAGTGGCCATATAGTCATGGGACAGCCCAGACAGGAGGGAGGATCAGTTCGGACCGACGGCGGCGGGCGTCTAACTTTTTGTTCTCCCCGACGACGGGGGCTTCTTAAAATATGCACCACATTCAGTCGCATGCACTGCGGCTTTTTGCAATTACCATTTGCATTTCACGGAGTTATCAACACGGCACATGGGCACACACGGAAACACGTACGGATAGAACAATTTAAAATGCACGGAATAAAATGCTTATAAGGCAGTTGGGGGAACGACGCGGACGGGCGACAACCGATCGGATAGAGCCGCGCAACTTGACTGGGAGCTCGGCCCAGAACTCCAACGACTGGCGGCTGAAAAACCACCCGGAAAGCTCACTCTTCAAGCTGCAGAGCTCTCTTCGGGTCTCCGCGTATCTCTTTTGATCTTGAAGAGCTCTCTTTTTGACCTTTTGCCGCTGTTTAAACATGCGCGCTATATATTTAACGATCAGCTGAAGTAACGCTTTTAATTTTATAGTCAGGGGAAAACATCGAGTATATCTATTTAAATTAGGATTTTACATTTTTATGTAAGAGGAAGGGCCAAATACTTATATCTTTCTAACGGCTTTCGTATAAAAATTTCAAGGTCTTCACAATTTGATATCTAAAACATTCTACTTCCTAAAGAATATTTCTCTACCCACATTTTAAGAAAATTCATTAAGGGAAGTTTAGTATTTGGAACTTATACAATCAACAACTTCCTATAGAAGCTGTGAAAAAGCTCTCCTAAAGGCCGACTTTACTTAGTCTCAAAGATCTTTCTCTTTGATCCCTCTCTTTCATCGCCTTGGACTCTTGCAGATCCACATCTGTTTAAATATGCGCGCCATATATTTTCCAATCAGCAGAAACAACGCTTTAAATACTATTGCACTTAAAAATAGAACCCGATTAAAACACGCCCCGATTTCCAGATGCGAATCCCTCGATCAGTGGGAGCGCGCAATGTCCGAGAAGAAGGCGAGTATGTCCTGGATATTGAACTCGAGGTTGATCATGGCGCCGGCATAGCACTTCTGGATGCGCTCCTCCAGGTAGTTGTACTGGGCAATGAACTCCTCCTGCATGGCATGCCACACCACTTGCAGCAGGTTCTCCTCCTCGCTGAGGTGCTTCTCCACCTTCTTGTAGAGGTTCTCGAGGCCTTTCTTTACCTCGCGCGCCGGATACTGAGCAATTACCTTGCGCAGCTCCTGTTTGGAGAAGGCCATTTGGTAGCTGATCTCCGTTTCCTTGACTCCCTGAGCCACCTTCAGTTGCACGCCCTCAAAGAATTGCTGGAAAGGGGGAAAGTAAATTTGTAAAATACATCTCAGATCATCTCTTTTTAAAGGTCATTAACTTACATTCAGTTTCTCCAGCGGTCTTCCGAAGTACTGAGTCACATACGCTTTAAGCGCATCGTTGTAGCACTTCTTTGCCTCCTTTTTCAGTGCATCCAGTCCAGGAACCTTTAGCTGAGCTAGCAAAGCGTACATATGGTGGTAGTTCTCCATGCGCACCACCTGCACAGGTGTCTTGGGATGCTCCTGCGAATGCAGATGGATGCCCTCAAAGATGGCATTGACCAGCTGCAAGTACCACTTCTCCATATCCGTGCGGCGATCCGACTTGCGAAAGATGCCCTCCGCCGTTTGGGCAAAGTTCTCGAAGTTCTCCACATACGGCAGAATGGCCTTTGAGCGCTTATGCAGCTTGGCCTCCTTGATGGACTGCAGTTGGTTGTGCATGAAACGGTCAAAGCTGCGCTTCACCTGCACCAAGGCGGAGGCGAAGGTCATGCTGAGAAAGGAATGTGTGTCCTGGGCGGACATGACGTGCTGGGTGAGTCGCACAAAGACGTACAGAGAGTAGCTGAAAGAATAGATTTATTAATTTAAATTTTCTAAAACATCATTAGTTAATATCAATTACTTACAAACTGTCTACCCGCTCAAAGCTCTGGATAAAGCTGACCAACTCTGGTTCTAGGCAACCGAAAAGACCCATCATCAGCTTCCGCACATCCTCGTTAATCTGACGATCAATCCGCTTCTGCGGCACTCCCTCGGCTGACGGCGATATCGCTCCCGCTATCACCGACTGCGACATGTCCACCGCCTTCTCCATTTCCAGCGTGGTCTGCGTGTTCTTCGTCGTTGGACTGATAACGTCCATTTGGAAGAAGTTGATGCAGAACAGCTGCTCCTGCAGGGCAATGGGTTCCAGCTCAGCTAGAACCTTTTCCAGCAGGGCATCGAAACGAATCCGATCGGCGCTCTCCACTCCGGGTCCCCACTGATCCCTGTTGATTCCCAAAGTGCCATAAGGTATGGTGGACACTGCCGACTTCCTGGAGGACGTGGACATGTCCAGATCCTCGCGAGAATTTCGCAGCTTCTCGGCCACCTGAATTTTAGCCTATTAAGGGTATTTTATATGATTATTAAACAATCTATTAGATTAAGATTTCGAGTTCTCACCAAATTAAAGAAGTTCCTCACATCCCTGTCATAGATTTTACTCAGCGAAGCCGTGTAGACACGCATCAGGCCATCGTAGGTCTTCCGGTCCATCGCTTTTGTCCAGTGCATCAGCTCCGTGTAGGGCGTCAGTTCGCGATGGACGTTGGAATGATTGGGCAATGTCAGCTCCGTGCTAGTGACCGGCATATCTCCAATTTCGTTGCCCAAATGGATGAACAGGTTGTTCATGAACCGACTGACGGTGGCGGAGAACTTTTGTTTCCACTTTTCAAAGCGCTTGCGCTGATCCTGGACGGCCTCCAAGCGAAGCAGGGCGGGATCTATGTCGCTGTTCATGGCCTGCTGCAGGCACTGGGCAGCTGCAATGGCCGCCTTGCGTCCGTTGGCGGTCTTCAGATCAGGTTCATCCAGAGCCTGCTGCTGGCTGTGCGGCAAGTCCAGTTGGCTCTGAAAGAAAAACATAAAGATAAATCACCACAAAATTATATACAACTAGTAGAGCCCTGCGTGAATCATTCAATTTTTTGTTTTATCATAGTAGACCATGAAATTTCTGATTTGTTAAATTCAATTCTATGTGAAATAAATTGAAATGTTTTTCTAATTAATTTTGAATTGAATGAATGAATTATTAATAATATGAATAATTTTTATGAATTTTTGGAATTTGCCAGTTTTTTTTTTGTGCTTTCTTTTGAAAGCAAAAAGTGGAAAATTTTTAACAAATCAATGTTAACTAAGCAGTTAACAATAAAATTCAGGCAGATTTGATCTCAAAAATTTGTTTGAATGATTTCGGATTCTCCTTTCACTCATTCAAATTCTATTAAACTCAAAATTCGAATTAATTCATTCATATAAAAGAAAAAATCCAAAATAACTCATTGAATCCATTCATGCAGGGCTCTAATAACTACCTATACCCACTATAACTTTGTTGAGCTCCTTCATCAGCTTGATATTATTGTTGTTGGCTATCTCGATCATGGCGTTCTTGCCGCCAATCTTCTCCATGGTCTCCTTAACGTGCCCCAGGATATCCTCGTAGCTGTCCAGACGGTTCTCGAACTTGTCCGCCTCGGAAATGGCGTTGTCGATGTGCTCCATCATTTTCAGCACCTTCTGCTCCGAGGCCAGCACACTTTGCATATTCGCCTGCGCGATAAGAAATAATGAGTAATCAGAATTGCTTACAAAGTGCTTATTAATTTACCCCATCCAGATCGTGGAGCTCCCGGGACAACTGCTCGATGAACTGCTCGGCATCCTTGATGGCAAAGTCGCATTCGGAGAAGAGTTTGCCCAGCTCGTTGGCCTCCTTGTCCGTCAGCGCGGTAAACTCCTGGGCCTCCTCCTCCTCGTCCTCCTCGTCGTCGGTGTGCTGCGTCTTCTGGGTCACTCGACCTAGAGCCACCTTTTCCGGGGACTTCTCCGCCAGCCAGGCGGCAGGAACGTTCCGGAATTCCGCCCTCTGGCCACGCACACTCTTCTGGATCTGCCGGTTCAGCACGGCCAGGAAGTTCTGCCGCTCCAGCGGATTGAGGGCGTACCACTTGTACAGCTTTTCCAACTGCAGATCGAACTCGTGCGTCTCCAATTGCTCGTTCCGCCCGTCCACCCACTTGATCTCGTCCAGCTGCCAGCTCCGCTTGCGCTTGTACTCGCTCTCGCGCTGCTCCGACTGCTTGACGAGGCACAGCGTGACCACGGGCACCGGCGGCGCCGTCGTGACCACGCAAAGGTAGCAGGGCTTCTTGTCCTTTTTCTTGACCACCGTCACCACGGAAAGGAGGCGCTCGCCGGCGGCCAGGAAGAGCTCCTTCTGCAGCGTGTGCTTGATGTTGGCCATGGCGCCGATGGACAGCATGGCTGGGAATGTCTTGCGGCGGCACTGGTCACGAAAAAAAGGTCCTGCTGGCAATCAACAACTGGCCAATTGTTTGCACTTGCAATTAGCATTCGGAGAACGCCTCCGCATCAACAGCTGATTTAACAGAGCTGCTAACAGAGGCGTTAACAGACTATCGGTTAGGGAGGAGTGATTACTAGGTGTCGTGAGTAATAGGTTGATATAGAATTAAAAATAAAAAGATTAGATATTATTTTTATTGCAAGCCTGGAGGTGTTTAATTTGATTTATTTTTCTTACCATTAAGTTTTAAAATTAAAAATAGTCGTGAGTACTCGGCTCGTGAGCACACCTCTAATTTTAAGGTGGGATTTTTGCCTTAACGCCAGCACGGTTACACTGTTCGACACAAGAAAACTTACGGGTTAGTTTTTATGCGAAAATACTTTTGGCGTGAAAATAACCCATAATTTTCCTAATTTCCAGCAACTTTCGAGCAATCATGTTGGTCAAGCACATTGTCAAGCAGGGGCTTCTGCTCAAGAACGGTGAGTTTAAACGGCGGATCAACCATTTTCAGTGGAACTGCTAACCTTAAAAATTACATAATGTGGGAAGGCGAAGAGAGGGACTTCAAGGAACTCTAGATATATGGTTGACCCAACAATCCTCGGAATAGCTATAAAAATATCCTTTCCTATAAGTTCCCCCCGTCTTCTTGGATTACATTTTAGTTAGAGATACTTAGGGACTATTTTGGTATTAGGATGAGATAATATCCCATAGGGAATCCGCTTTAAAGTACATATATTATTGTTGGTTGACCCTACAATCCTCATAATAACTATAATTATATCCTTTTCTATAAGTTTCCGCCGTCTTCTTGGATTAATTTTAAGTTAAACGTACTCAAGGAATAGTTTGGTATTAGGATTAGTTGATATCCCATAGGGTTTCCCCCATTAAGTATATTATTATCCAATAATGATCATTAAATTATATTTTTACCTGTAATTTTAGCTGGCGCCTTGTCGCGTGCCGCTTACCACGGAGGACATGGTCCCCACTCCACCATGAACGACCTGCCCGTGCCCGCTGGAGACTGGAAGGAGCAGCACAGCCAGAAGAACGCCAAGTACAATGCCGCGCTCATCACTGGCATCCTCGTCCTGGCCGGCACCATTGGATTCGTGAGTTGCAGTCACTATCTATTCCCACTTCCCACTAACCAAATTCCCCTTTGCAGGTGAAATCTTCTGGTCTGATCCACTTCAATTACTACGTGCCCAAGAGCCTGGACTAAGCCAGTCACCCCCTACGTGTAAATTAATCCAAAATTTGTGTTAAATAAGCTTAAAGTGGCGACATAGTAAATCACAGATCCGAAAGTATTCAGTACGCTGGTTTTATTAATACACGGGACCGTCGTCCAAGTTGTCGTCCTCGTCGTTGAACGCCTCTCCGTTATCAAAGTAGGTGGCTCCGTAGTCGTTGTCCTCGTCCATCTCGTCATCCATCGCCGCCTCCGGATCCTCCTGCTCCTCCTCCTGTTCGGAATCCGACTCCTGTTTGACCTCGTCCTGTTCGCCACCGCCGGACTTGAGTTCCTTCTGCTCCAGCACCTTGAGTCGGTCCTCGATATTGGTCTTTTTGGCCAGCAGCTTGGGCCGTGCATCTGCAGCGCGTCGCTTTCGACTGGATATATTTAGCTCCATGGGCATGGCTTTGTAATTGAATTCGGGCTGGGCCTTGAGCTTCATGCGCTCCATGGCTTTCTGGGGGGTGGAACCAAAAGGTTGAGGAATATTAAATTGTAAATAGGAATAGGGTTTTACCTCCCGCCAGTCCTTGTGCTCCCGATTTGGCGCCTCCTGGCTGGCGGAGACAATGTAATAGGGGGAATCTCGCATGCGATTCAGGAAATCCTCCTTCCACAGCAGCTGGTAGTTTTGGGTGGCGGTTGTCTGGCAGGGGGAATATAAAGAAAATGTTAGTCACTGAATATTATTTAAATAAAATCCATTTAAACCCACCTCCAGCGTAGTGGGCCTGTTCAAAACAGGCGGAAATGTGGGAGGCGGCGCTGTCTGCACCGGCATATCCTTTGTACAACCCAGCATGGCCATTTGCTCGGCTGTGAGGGTGCCTGTCTTGCCGCCCCTTCCACGTCCTGCCATTATTTGATTTTTTCTTATTTATTTCCGTTTAGAATTATTTATTTTTCGATTATTTTGTTTAGGTTTTGCGCACGTTTATTCAACTCAAAAAACGATCAGCTGTTGCGCTGGCTAGCGGAGTTGCCACCTAGTCGAAAACAAACAATAACATTGAGGTTCTGTAGTCGACTAGGTTATACCCTACCTTAAATTTGATTTTAATTTATTTTTCAATTATTTTCAAAAAGTACCCAAGTAAAAATCAATTTAAATTTTACACATAACATATACATATTTTATTGCAATTTGCACTTTTTCACTTACACTATGAACAGTTATTACATAAGAGAGAGCAACATATATATATATCAGCCATGCTTCAATTTGCAATTTAAAGAAAAATTAGAATTAATATAATATGAATTTTTCAAACAAATATCATTTGGAAGCTGGCAACGAACTAAAATTCTTGGTCAAATAAAGCAGAGCTGAATATTCGAATCATACAAACTAATTAGGGGGCGTGGCAGGGGGCTCATCGGTGGGCGCTAGGCCGACCTTCTGCATCAGTTCCGTGAGCTTCTGCGCCTTCCGATCCTCGTTGTGGGCAATTACAGTGCAAAGATGCTCGGTGAGCAGCTCCTTCTTCTCGGAGGCATTGTGCAGTTCTATCTTGGCACGCAGGAACTGAGCCTCGATCTTCACATATTGTTTTCTGTATTATAAAAATTATTAATATGGTTTCAAAACAGTTTTTATATGCTCCCACACTCACTCTACATTGGCAAAATGTATGCAGGCATTGTCGATCTGCTTCCTCAGCAGGGCCACGTCCACGGCAAGATCGCTCTCCAGCTTGGACAGCTCGTGGCGGATCTCCTCGATCTTCCGCGACTCCGCCGCCGACTTCTGGGTGTGCTGCTCGATGGCCTGGTAGAGCAGCTGCTTCTTCTGCTTGTTCTGCTCCTCGATCATGCGGCGATGCTGCTCGAAGTCCTTCAGCGAGATGCCCTTGAAGGGTGAGTCCGTGTTGAGGCGCTCCCGCGAGGAGGATTCATCCTTGCTGCTCGGCAGGATGCTGGCATCGTCTATTGAGCTGGTGCCGCCGCTGATCTTCAGTATGGAACTGTCGTCGGCGGAGGTTGTTGCCTCAGCATCCGCATACGTGGCAGCGGGTTTGTTATCTCTAGTGGTAGCCTGACCATGGTAGAGGGCCTCCATTAATGAATCGGAAAGAGCGCGCTCCAGATTCAGCGATCCATGGGCTGCGTCATCTTCGGTAGTGGGTTTCTGGCTTCTCCGTGGGAGTTGCTGTTCCCAATTTGGTTTTTTTCGTCACATCCGGTTTTTGGGTGGGTTGTTGCTGTTGCTGCTGCTTCCGTATTTGATCCGCCTGGCGGAAGATCTTATCGGGCATCCGCCGAATGCCCGGTTGATTCCGGAGCGCCTGCTTAGCTGCAAGGGTTTTTTGTTTTATAAACAGATAATTGTTTACACGCTTCGAGCCTAATTTCAAAGTGATCTAACCTGCTTCCAGATTCGCAGGCCGCTTGCCCACGCCGCCCTCCTTCACGCCCGTTATCTTGAGGATCTCGTCGTGGCTAAAACCATTGAATTTCTCAGTCATGGTGCGGATATTTTAGGTAATTAGCCATTAAACGATGGACCGAAAAACAATACAAAACACATCAGCAAAACCAAACAGAGCGCTTGGCGTTGCCAGATTGGCTAGGAATTCAATGCGATCATTTCTAAAAAATACCATGTTTCCACTAAACTCTACGATCTCGATCACATTTATCGATAACTATCAAATTCAAAAACAAGTTTAAAAACAACGCGCCTCTTTACGCTTTATTCAACACAGTTATGCCCAATTCGGAGCGAAGCTCGTGGATATTCTGCTCCCAGCGCTTCTCCCAGTAGACGGGCATCAGGGACTTAATTCGCTTGCCATTCTCCAGGGCCCAGGGCAAATATTGCTTCAAGTACGCACGCCGCTGCCTGAACAGACGAATATAAAGTAAACAATCTCGTGAATGGTTGTATAATTGGGGAACTTCAGTTCACTGAACTCACTTGGGACGTAGGCGAACTGCTCCGAACACCGCGCCTCCGTAGCACATGGGCAGACCCGTGTTGAGAGCCTCCACCCACTTGACGGCCACCTCGCCGAGTATGTTGGTGGGCATGTCCAGCACCGTGTGGATGAGGTCGTGGCACTCGCGGTACCGCGTCATCAGGTAGGCCAGCTTGGGGTCCTCCAGAAACCTCACGGCCATGCGACTGTCAGGCGTGACTTGCTGAAAAATTGGATACCGAAATTGGGGTCAAATCGATTGATAAAACTTGGAAATCATTTGGAAGAGTTATATACTGTTTTTATAAGCAAGAAGTATATTCATAAGTTTTTCAAGTGTTTTCTTATTTCCAAGAAGTTAATAATAGTTAAGCAATTCAAAGAATTGTTTTATAAAACTTAAATGTTAATTATAAGCAAGAAGTTACTTCTAATATTTTTAAGTGTTTTGTTTTTTTTTAGAATAAGTTTATAACAATTAAGCAAATTTTAAAGAATATTATTTGAAACTTAAGTCTAAATAATAAGCAAGGAGTTACTTCTAAGATTTTCAAGTGTTTTCCTATTTCCTTGAAGTTAATAAAAGTTAAGTAGTTTTCAAAGAATTTTTAATTCAACTTTCATAGCTTTAAATTTTTTTTTTACCGTTATTCGAACTTTATAAGTTTTCTAGAATATTTCATAGCGGCTACGGTGAACTCTACATTATAAACTCGACCTTAATTATACCCTTGCAGAGGGTATTATGATTTCAGTCAGAAGTTTGCAACGCAGTGAAGGAGACATTTCCGACCCCATAAAGTATATATATTCTTGATCAGCATCACAAGACGAGTCGATCTAGCCATGTCCGTCTGTCCGTCTGTCCGTCCGTCTGTCCGTCCGTTTCTACGCAAACTAGTCTCTCAGTTTTAAAGCTATCGGGATGAAACTTTCGTAGAAGTCGTATTTCTATTGCAGGTAGTATATATGTCGGCACCAACCGGATCAGACAACTATATCTTATAGCTCCCATAGGAAGGATCAAAAAAAAAAAACGTAAAAAAATTCTAGCTCCGGTGTTTTTTTAAATTTTACCTTCTACTCTTGGGAATATTTTTTTCTATATATTTCTGAATTTCGGTTTTTTTGTTTTTTAAATCGGATCACTATATCATATAGCTGCCATAGGAACGGTCGAAAAATTAAATGGAAATTAAGGGGAAAAAATTATATCTTTGTTGGTTTTTATTACATTCCCTTCTTCTCTGGGATATGACTATTTTGAAATATTTCCGAATTTCGATTTTAATTTTTTAAAAATCGAACTACTATATCATATAGCTGTGATAGAAACGATCGAAAAATTAATGTGAAATAATAAGAAATTTAACATTTTTGCGATTTGTAAATTAATAGAATGATCTGCAAGGGTATATAAGCTTCGGTTTGCCGAAGCTAGCTTCCTTTCTTGTTTTTCTTTTTTTTGCTATTCTTCACAAATATTTTGATGTTTGTTTTCTATATAGATTCTATCACATCTTTGAACCAGATTTTTGTACGTGTTTTGTGTACTAATTTGTTCCCACATTTTTATCTCTTACTTATTTACTTACATTATCTTTGAGGAACTTGACGTAAGCGGCTCCAAAGGTATCTGCTGGCAGAGTTTCCAGGTATTTGAAGTCAATGGTGCTGGTGTGGATGCGGGGCTTATCGGCCATAATCCTCTGACCCTCCTCGCTGGCCTGCATGGTGTCCAAAATACTCCAAAGGGCATCCTCTCCAGTCGTCTCGCCCAGACAGGCGATCATATCGTGACTGAGAAGGGATTAATACATGTTATATTGTATTTATAATTATAAAATGCGATATCCTACCGCCTTGGATCCAATAGAGCAGCTATGGAGGACCCAGCTCCTAGGATCACCCGCTGGAAGGGCGATATCTCAATCCGATCCTTGAGATACTGACGCTCAAAGGCATCCTGGGGTTCTGGGGATTCTGTGGCCACCGCTTGGCTATTAAACTGGCCCAAAGCGAAGCTTCGTCGCATGGCCAGCGGCTTGGAGAGACGCCAGCAGCGTTGCAACATGATGATCTGTGGATTTAAAGAGGAGACACGGGGAGATACACCCGTACACCCGGTGACCTTATCAGCACGATCGTCGGCATCATCATTATCATCATCACCACGTAAACATGACCCTGACTACCTGTCTTCGGTTAAAGCCGCTCTGTACGTGCCCACTTTCAATAGCAGCGAATATGAGCAAACAATTTGTCCATAATGTGGGTACGCTGGGTACGCGGACAGGGCTGATGCTGACTAACAATTTACCTCGCCGTTAAATCCGAGCAAACCTGTTTCGGCTTCCTCATTACCTGTCCCCACCCCGAATCCCTCATTCACCCATCAATATTGCTGGGTCTCGAAATAAAACCTAAACAAATTGCTGCAGGGGGCACTGGCACCTCATCTCGGATTTTATGCTCAATTTCAATGTCGTCATCGGTGTTTCTTGGCTAAATGGGTAGTCACTATTAATAAGAATGGCATGACAAATCTTGGTATTTTTTAAGATAAGTGAAATAATTATATAAAAATATTATGGTGAATAAGAAAGGTAAAATATTTATATAAAAATTTGTAAGGTGAATAAACCACGAATTTATAAAATATACGTTTCTTTGTTGACTAACTAATTCCTAGAACTTAGATATCCATCTTAAAACCACTATTTATAGTTAAGAGATACCGAAAAGAAGAGCTTCAGCTGCGCAAATTTATTTACTTCTCTAACAAAGCACAAAATTCTTCAACCATCCAATTGGCTACTCTAAACAGAAGCCTATTATTAGACAATCAACAATGGAAACGGAAAATCACTATGCCCAAAAACTAAAGGCGTGCTTATCTATGTACATTATATTACTAACACTCGCAATCGCTCTATGGCCTGATTACATTGTTGTTTCTTAGAATAACACACAAAAAAACCCAAAACTCGTCTAGAAAGTAACTCGTAATCGGCCAACCCATTGAAGGTTTTCCGTTTGTCCAGCAATGCAGTACTTTTAGTAGAGTTCTCAGAGCGCCAACGTGTTTACCCAGAATAGGTAAACACACGATTAAGCACAAGTAATTGAAAAGTCCCACAACGCAGATCTACATATTAAATTCTTAACAACGAAAACCAATTAGAAAAGCACATGTGAGTGCAATAATTTTTCTTAATTAGCTAGGGCCGAGGCAATCTTATCGCTAACGAGTCAAAGATAGAAAACAATCGGTTATCTGGCCCACCCAATGCGAAGGAGGAGCTGTGTATTTCTGTTACTTATGACACTTTCGATGCAGGAAACAGTTGCATGCGGACAAATGTACAAAGTGATTAAAATTACATAATTGCTAAATATTACACTCGTTTTGTTTTAAGATACATAGCTATTAATATGTACAGAGACGATGCGCTGTGTGGCTATAGGAAAATCGAATACGAAGTCGTAGAATGCAGAACATAAACATATCGTATGGCTTTGGCTTGAGTTTGAGCTAAGACGAAGCTAGACATTCTCGCCGCGGTTGCTGCTGGGCAACTGCTTATCGGGCGCCCGTTTCCGCCGGAAGGTGACATACGTGTAGAGCAGGCTCGCCAGCACGCTGATGTTGATCCCGATGCAGTTGAGCCACGAGAAGACATAGTCGCCGCCAATGAACATGCCCAGATAGGTCACACAAATGTTTTTGAGGCAGCCCACAATGGTGGTGGTCAGCGCCGAGTTGAACTGCGTGCAGAGGATGGTGCTGTACGACAGTATGAATCCCATGACGCAGCTGAGCAGGAACTGCAGCACAAACACCGAGTCGTTCCATTGTCCAAAGTTCAGCGCCTGCTCCAGATCCCCCGTCGCATAGTTGAGTGCCAAGGCGGGCAAAAACATGAACAGCGAGTTGTAGTACATCAGGCCGTACTTGCCGATCTCCGAGGTGTCCAGCTTCTTCTTCACATACACCCCATTCGAGGCGGTCAGGGCGTTGGTGATCATCACATAGATGTAGCCCCGCATGTTGAAGGACAAATCATCGGAGGCGGCCAGCAGGGCGCCGCCGATCATGGCGTAAACGCTGATTTGTACCGCATTCGAGGGCCTGAGTCCCAGGATCTTGAGCTCCAGCAGCATTGTCATCAGGATGGAGAAGCGACGCAGAGCGGCAAACATGGGCAGGCTGAGGGTCTTGGTCCCCCCCAGGCCAAACATCATGTTGCCCAGGAAGATCAGCGGCAGCGGAAAGATCTTGGCAAAGGTGCTCCGCTGCAGCGGTGGAAAGGAGACCAGTTTGAGGCGCTTGCCCATGCCCAAAACCACAATGCTCGCCGTCAGCTGGCCCAGGCTGAGGAAGAGGAACGAGGGGAAGTGGTAGGAGGTCAGCACCGTCTTGTTCACCACCGTGATCATGAAGGAGGACAGGCCGTAGAAGAGGGCGCTCCCGATCTTCTTCACGAACACCGCGGAGTCCTCGCGCTCCCGGTGGCTCAGCTCCTTGGAGTCGGAACCATTGAGCAGCGATCCTCCGCCGCCGCCCGGTCCGCCGATCTTCTCCTCCTGCTTCCTGCCATCGTCGCCGTCGTCGTCCGCGAGGAGCGGCTGCAGGTCCAGCGTTGTGTTGCCGCCGCGCGACACACTCATCGTAATTGCGGGGCGGCTGGTACTTGAATTAAAGCGCTTTCGTCACTGTCTATCGTTCGGCGGCTCCTATCTTGCGGCGCGCACATTTGCTCACTTCTCTCGGGGCCACTTTGGGGCCGGGGAGGAGGCTTTCCCGCAGCACATCAACGAGTATTTGCTATTTTTACCGACGCGAAATCGCAGCCATTCTCCGCGGAACATATGTTCAGTGTGACCTGGCGGGGGTGTCAGTGAAATGCCGCGAGTGAAATGGCCTAAATATGCCCCCACTGTTACTTAACATTTTAAGGGGCACTTGGTTTTGTTAATTTATATATTTGCATTGATTTAACTGTTCATAGCTTTTAATAAACTTCACTAATCATAATAGCCCCTAACTAAAATCTGCTCTATATAAACTGACTGTGCGTAACAGCTCTCCAAACTTGCACTCAACTTATCATCTTTAAACCGCTTTTTTCACATGAACATTGCTTTCTACGGCTAGTAAGCACTTCTCACTAACTCCCATTTAAAAAAAAGTTAATAAATGTCCTTACCTTCTTAATATTAAGCCGGAAACACACGACGAATTTTCACGAACTACACCGCTCGAGAAACAGCTGTTCTGTAAGCGCAATCAAAACACTGTAAGCAACAGCGCACAGTGGGTAACAGGGTTAAAAAAAGTAAGTCCAGTTCTGTTAATTAAATAAGTGAACTAAATTAAGGTAAACAAAGAATCAATATTTGTAATTCATAAACATATTTTTCTTGTTAAAAAAGTTAAGTTTAAAGTTAAAAACTCTTTATGTTATTAATATTTGTTCATATTATTTATTTTCAATTTATATTTTATGTTTATTTATGATTAAACCGATAGAACCGTTAGCAACTAAAGAATTTGGAAAGACATTTTTTTTCTTAATCAATTTTTTTTTGCCTTACATTAATCTTGACAAACGATCTTTTTGCCCCACTGTGCAGCGGTCATTAATCGGAGTGGCAACGCTGGCTGAAAGACTGAAAATTGTTTGGATTTAATTTTGTAAACAAATTGGATAAAATGAGCGGCTCAAAGGCTAAAAAACACAGCAAGGGCGACCAAATACCCAAGCCCATTAGCATAAAGAAGGAAAAGTTGGAGGAGGACCGCACGCTGCACCCGATTTCCCACTATATAGACGACCGTCTGGAGCTGGTGAAGCAGATTTTCGGGACCCTAAAACCGAAAACTATTATGAACCTGGCACCGGAGTTTCTAAAGGTGGGTTAAATTGCGTCTATAGAGCAATTACTAATGGTAAATATGGCACAGAAAACCCCACTGGACGAAATTGAGGAACTCTGTTTGGAGGAGCTCCTCTGCTTGTCCACGAAGCGCCTGAAATCCATTATAGAAGGTACCAAATGTCCCACAGACACCGAGAGCTCCGAAGATTCGGATGTGGAGCAGAAAGAGGGTATGTTGGGCACTATTTAAGTCCATGAACAACTCCCTAAAGACCTTTCCTTTCAGAACACATTTCTCTGGAGGAGATTTCCTCGGACAGCGACATCGGAGGCCAGGAGACCCGAAGAAGTGAGTGATAAGTTACAATTAATTTGGAGCTGGTTAATCTGTGTAATCTGCACAACTGCACACCGGAAAGTTAGCCGCCGTACTTGAACTTCTCGCAGGCAAAAAGTGGCGACACGTAGAAGGCCCGCAGGATGCAGACATCCTCGCCAATGCCGATGACTACGTTCTCGTTGTCCTCCTTGCCCACCTCCAGGGTGACCACAAAGTCGCCAACCTCCAGGCAGCCCTTCTTCCGCATGAAATCCACTCCGAACTCAATCGGACTGTAGTTGCACTCGTTGAGGTCCTTGGTGTACAGAACCGGGTGCATATTTCGGCGCAAATGAAGCGCCCGAGCCAGTTCCACCTTGCAGGTTACGGTTTCCTCGTCGTCCGTTTCTTCCAGCGGCATCATCATGTACACCGGACAGTAGATCTCCACGCGGGAAAGCGCCACGCTGGCTGCCTCGCATTTGGTAAACAAGAAGATGGCCTGGCACTCAATCGAGCTGATGGTTCGAATGATAAAATTCACCACCGTCTGGTAGGAGGTCAGGATGTTCTTCAGCACCATTTTGTTCTGAACCACGCCCACGCGATAATCCTTAATGGGCATCAGCTTCTTGACAATCAGCGGATATTTGTTGCACCACGGACTCTTCTGGATGTGAATGGCGTCTATCTTCCAGAGAAACTCATGCAACTCGAACCGCTTAAAGTCGCTGCAACGCTCCAGCGGCACTGTGCCAATCACCGGCTTCTTCTGGCACTGCGAAATGGGCAGCACATCCTCCATTATATAGTTGTAAACGCAGCAGTTAACGTTGAACATGTCGGGTATCCAAATGTAGTCCACCAACTTGATGATGCCCAGCAGATCCAGCATGTTGCTACGCACATACTCAAAGTCGATCATTCCGATCAACTTGAGGCTGAAGCCAGAGTTCAGGGTCTGCCGCACGGCGCGAAGAAAGCTCTTGCAACGAATCTTGGGCAGCACTATATAATTGGCGTTCAAGGAGGCGGCCATCTCCAGGTCTTTTAAGTACAGATCGGGATATACCTCGGGATCTAAAGCGTGGCACTGTCTGGGAAGCTCTATAAAGTCGTAGGAGGCCACCAGACCAGCATCAATGATCATCACGGTTAGGGCTTCGCGAAGGGTCTTTAACCACCCGACACCTAGCTTCCTTTCCTATCAGCAGAATGTCGCCTAGCTGAACAGAGGAAAGATAAGCCCGCAAATTGATCACGTAGACAATCTCCTTGTAGCCCTTGTAGCGGTAGGCCTCATCGGTGGTGAGAGTGACCACTGCACCACGCGCCAGCATCACTGTGCAATTGTTTCTCAGCCTGCCAACGCGACAGCACTCGCCATTAATCTCCAGCGCCAGGCCGGTGGTCAGGCGGAGTTCCCTCTCGGCAGTGTGAGCCGAAATGGCTATGTTCATGGTGTCCAAAATCGCCTTTAATTCATCCGGCTTGTTGGCCACCGTATCGACGTGGAAGGTATAGGTGCCATTCTCCAGCATGCGACGTAGCTCATCGTGGGTGGTTTCCGTCACCAGTTTGGCCACCAGACCCAGATGGTAGTAACGTCTCCGCTTTCGCCGCCTAGCATGCTTCTCATGCGCCTCGCAGGCCGCTTTGAAATCCTTCAAGCGCTGCTCCAAGTCATGCTGTCCATTGAGCCGCACCGTAAACTTATCCAGTCGGTTCTCATCCTCCGCCTGCTCCTCCTCCTCCTCCCCCTGATCGTCTGCAGTCTGGCTGTCCAGCTGCAAGGGATCCGCTTGCTGGTTGACCGGCATTCTGGCGTGCAGTTAATTTAAGCTATACTTTAACTACCAATTTTTAATGTATTCTTATTTAAAATTTCAGACAAGAAGAAACTAAGAGCCAAGAAAACAAACAATGGGAATGAGAACAACAAGGAGTGTGAGTATTAACTTTAAGAAAGTATAAAAACTAAACACATTATGGCAACTTAACGTAGAGTTTCCCAGGTTACTAAGGTTTCCTTTTCTTCCACAGCGGGCGGTCAGATGAGCGTGCTGGAACTGCTGGAGCTTCAGGCACGAGCCCGGGCTATTCGCTCTCAGCTAGCCATGGAGCCAATCACCAAGATAGAGGTCAAGTCGGATGATGATGACGAGATCCCAGCAGAGAAAGTTCAGCGAAAAGAAAAGGAAAAGCGTAGCACGAAAAACAAGGAGTCAAGCACCCGTAAAACTCAAGAGAGTAAAGAAGTTAATAAAAGCAAAGAACAGCCAGCACCCCGAAAGAAAATCAAGATCAAGAGAAACTATCGACAGAGCTCAAAGTCACCAGAAAAGGAAGTGCCAGCTCCAGCTTCTGATCCTCCTCCTCCTCCTCCAACCGAAACTTTAGTTGCAAATAAGGATTCCACCAAGCCTTCCCGTTCCAAATCGCGTTCTGCTTCACCAGATGTGATCCCCATACAAACAGAGCCGGAAACATTGCTGATCAGCGACAGCACAGATGATGAGGGCACTAAGCCGAAGTCGAAGGAAATCGTTGAGCCTGCTGTAGTGGAGCCACCAGCACCTGTCGTAGAAAGCGAGCCGGAGGAAGGAGAAGTTCGCGATGAACCCGAAGAGCCCGCCAAACCAGAAGAGCCCGCCAAGCCAGATGAGCCGGCCAAAACGGAAGAAGATCCTGCCAATATTGAAGCACCCAATAAACCAGAAGATGCGGAAAAGCCTGAAGAGGTAGAGAAAACAGCGCCCAAGGAACAGCCTTCGGCAGAAGCACCCTTAGATGATCATAATGCTCTTGCACAAGCAAAGGAACCCACTGCACCCGAACCCGCTCCCTTAGATGACGAAGATCAAAACGATGATGTCATTTCAATAGGCGGTGATCTTGAAATGATTGAGGAAATGACCAAGGAAGACGAGCCACCACCAGTGGTAGTTAAGAACGAAAAAAATGGAGAAGCGTCCCGATCCTGAGGAAATGGACAACGATGTTATTTCTCTGGACACAAGCGAAGATGAACACGACAAATTAGAACAGACAAGCTCCGAGGTATTTTTGAATGATAATAATATTGTTAGTCACCTCTAAAATGTATTAATTATTCCAGTCCTGGCGCACACGATACATGAAGAGTTCAAAGGTTAGCCAGGTGCTGGCTGAGTCGCGACTGGGAAAACGCGTACGCGATAAACTGAAGAAATCGAAGCGTAGTAAAGTCGTGGCCAGTGATGAGCAGACCAAGGCTGAAAAGCCGGTCTCCTTCACTTCCAAGCATGAGGATGGCTCCATTGAGCAATACCAGGAGCTGCTGCAGCACCGACAACGAAAAACTTCAAGCAGCAGCAAGGGCGATAAATAAACCCACTCGCTGAGTTGGATTGGGATTTTTATTGAAAAGTCGCGTACTGACGCACAATCCTGGTTTATATGGCATATAAAAAGTCAAATAAAAATCCGTTGTCCTCGGGGGCGGCAGAACACGTAAAATTTGAATATATCGTGCTAAATGCATATTTGATTTCTCATTCGTCTTTTCTTATAAAGCATACCCTATATGACACAGGGTATATGGAGTTTTTTAGAGGTTAAATTAATCATATTTCTTGACTTTTTATTTAAATGTTGACACAAACAAAAGTTTATCCACGTCCAAACTAGAATCTAATTTTACAGACATCTCTTCCCACCAAAACCGGTTGGAATTTCTTCTGTTTCTACCTAGTTAGGTTATTAGGAGATTACTGTGTCATTCTTGTATATGAGAATTTTTTAGAAAATTAATGGATTCATTAAATGTACAATTAAAGTCTGTACTTGAAAAGTCATACACATAAGTAGTTCTATTAATTCATGATTATCCCTAGTACAAATTGAAGGGTATTTAATGCCTCGACTACCTCTTAAAAAACTCCCCTTCTTGTTTTTAGTTTTGTTTTGTAATTTAAAGGAAAATGCGAAAACTATGCCCTCTCATTTCCGCTGCGTGCTCCATTTTCCGAGGGGAACAGCCGTTTAAGGAGGGTTCAAGCAGCGGGAAAGGCAGTTAAACGAGTCGCACGCAGGTTACGCCTTTGCATTGATATTGTTTGTCATAAACTAGCTCAAAAATCATTAAGCCAAAAATTGAACGGAAGGGTTTGAGTTTAACCTAGTTTGGCAGTCCATCCACCCCGTCCCCATATAAGGATTCAGCTCCTCCCGCTACTTTGTCATCGACTTTACTCGATTTCTAATCATGCGGTTACAGAACATGTCCACACCACTCTACACTCGAATCCACTCCAACCACTTCTGATTGTCCTCCTGGCCATTCCATTCCACTCGACTCGATTTGTTAGCCACCCCGGTTCGATGTTACTGGTCTGGTCACTGGACTATATCTCAATTATGCTGCTGGGGGCGGCGGCGGTTGAAGCGTGTTGCACCATAAACGATGATTGTTTTATCAGAGACTCGGTCGTGTTGATAAACTGTTTTAGCAACAACAACAAAAAATGGCCCAAAGAGCGGTGCTCTGAGTGGAACTTTTAGTCTTGACTTATCTAATACGCATGTCCTGTGAGCAGAGGGTAGGATTAGGAGTGCTTGTATATATGTGTGCTTTTACTGCGAATCCATCAAGTGGGCGCGCTGCATACATATAAATGTGGCATGGGCATATTTATTTAATTTAATTTTAAATCAAAAAGAATTTTAAACCCGGAACAAAGTTGGTAACAAAATGTATTTAACATCAGAGAGGTCCCACGTTGGGCGCCAAAATATTTTTTATAGCTTAACTACTGCCACACCCTTAATATTTTTAACAAATTTCTTTAACTTTTCCTTCAAAATAATATATTTAAATTTTTTAGTTTTAAGAAGATCAAATAAACAAGAACATGTATTTTCCATTCCAATGTCCCACGTTGGGCGCCAAAAGTTACAAAGTTAGTGAAAAAGGTTAGCACATGTTTTGCCTAGCTCCACCACCCCCTTCCCAACTACTTCCTGTGGTTTTCTCTCTCTTTTTGTCGGTAGAACGCCCCCGCGGCGAGAAGTAAACAAAATAGCAACAGAGCGTTGCTCGCTGGAGGTTGGGGGTGGCTCTGGGGGTGGTTTCTCTCGCGGGCTCTCGCTCTCTTTCGAGTGCCCGAGTGTGGGTGTCTGCATCCTTTGGCAGCAGGCTGGCAATTGGGAAAACGGAAAAGCCGAATCAGTCTACAGAAAACGCGTACGTGGTGCAGAAGTAGCCGCGGGTGGCTACCACAGCGTCGTTTTGGACTTGTCGGCATGATCAAATAAGTGTAACGCCCTGTACAAGTTCTGTAAGTTTCCAGCTGCAACTAAATCAAACCAAATTCATCAGAAGCAAATGAAAGCCAAACAAATGCAAATATCAATCTGCCGATTTCGATTTCGGTGTTCAAAGTGTTCGAAATGAGTGACAAACGCCAAGGATTTGTAAGCCAATAACAATCAAAAAGTGGTGGCAACACATACAAATTAAAACAAGGATAACCAAGCTTATTTTGTATTTTTATAACCAGAAACGCTGTGCTAAAAAACCCAAAAAGTGCTTTAAACGTTAACAAACTACTTAAATAATAAATAATTAAAAGTTTTGATACTAGCCCAAAATATGCCTTATCCAAGGAGTTTCCGTTCGATGCGCGTTTATTTTCGAAAAAGTTTACACTTAGGATTAAAGATGCTCTCTCTGGCCAGAGACATTGTGAGTCCCAGCTACGAAAACAGTAACCCAAATTAATCCACATACATAACCGGATTACTGAACTATGCCCGCTTGCATTGGCCACTAAAAACAACAAAATTACAATTGGCTTAAAAAGATGGATTCAAAATTAATTCAAATTGGCAAATTTATAAAATTGTGTTTGCTAAATGCTTTCGAATGCTTTTAAACTCCCAATCATACTCCGTGCAGTCAATATTCCAGCTCTGAAGAGCTATGGAAATTTAATGACTGCATTTTATATACCTTTAAAATCCTCCCTTTCCCAAACATATCCTAAAATACAACAAAATCATGTGCATGTATGTATGTATAAAATTATTTCATAATTATATCTTTACTTTTTTAACTTTTATAGTACAAATAATCACAAAACAATTTTAAATTTTAGAAAAAATTTTAAAAATTTTCAAGGAGTTAGGAAAGTTATAAAAGGTTGAAAGGGCTCCCACTATGTGTCACCCGAATTTAAAGTCTATGTAAAAAATATGAAATTATTATTATTATTGGTACAATAATGATTACCAAATTTTGTATCGAAAGATAAACATACCTCTAAAAGGTATGCTATGTTTTAAACGATTTCAAACTTCGCCTCACCTATCTTTTATTTCTCTCATATACGTTAAAATGTATAATTTTGGCTGCGAAAAGCAAAAGGTCCGAAATGATAGATGCGAATTTTTGATGGATACAATGACGCACTCACACGCACACAGAGACAGTGTCCAACGAAGTTGGTAAATTTAATTGGAATAATAAATGTGTGTGATGTGCCCTGCTCTCTTTCCTTTTTTATGAAACAAAAATGCACAATGCCTGATATAGATGTCATAAAGTTTTATTAATAATGAAAATTGTACTAAAAACGAGGCCAGCCGGAATGGGACAATTTATTAAAAAGTCTCATTAGCTCACGGGTTTTATCGCACATCGCACATCGAGCATACGCCACGAGGTCCCCTTACGGGTGCTAATAACGTAAAAGCAGAAACGAGAATAATAATAATATGCCCGGCTCGGGATTGCGATAAAATAAAATTTTCGATATGGACATGATTAAAATGCGGACCCCAGTTTACCACCCACTTTTTATGACTGGGCGGCGGCAATAACTGGGCCGCCGGAGATTAAGTATTTTTAATGCGACAGCGACTGACAATAAAAATATAAAAATTTCAACGATAACATATAGCAACGTCAGCGGGCCAAATCAATTTCAATATATAAGTATGTATATCTATTGATATGCGTTTTGCATGTGTCTATTGTAAATATCCAGCCGACTGATATTAAGTCACTTGCCATGTGCTCCTCCGGCAATATTTATTCGCTGAAAATCAATAAATTCCACACAGACACACACTCGTAAAGCGAATATTTTTCTTTTTTCCCTCATTTTCTCTTTGCGCTGGCGCTGCGGCTCATTATTAATATAAGTATATACTTGTATACATCTGTATATATATATGGGATTTTTTTACATTTTGATATTTCGCAGAGCCTAGAAGATGGGGGTTGGCTTAAGTGTTTTTCTATTACGCCTTTTGCCCGAATTCCAGCTAGGCAAACACACACACACACCCACACAGAGACCGACTAAGGGCCACCCACCTCCCCCAATATTATATTTGCTTTTAAATATTTTGATATACAGCCCAGTAACTCACACACACACACACACCCACAGCCAGGCATTTTCTCATAAAAATTTCGTACTCGAATAAGACGAAGTAGCTGCACACACACACACACACCCACTCACACAAACTGGGCAAAATGTAACCCGCAGGCATTATGGGTTAAGGGAGGGGCAGAAAGTGGGGGCTTTGGTGGGGGGGCCACATGGCAAAAACTTTGAGCAGCAGCAGGAAAATAATGTAAAGGATGTGCCAGGGCCACCATGGAGACCAAGCCGACTGTAACTGGAAAATAATAATTTTTTCTCCCTTTTTTCCTTCATTTCTTGCTTTCTCCGTAAACCCCCCTTCCTCCTCCCCCTCCCCATTCCACATTCATCCCTCCTTCTGTATGTTTGCCGTTTCTTTTGAGTGTCAGAAATGGAAAAGAAAATAATTTGATGGTTTCATAAACTCGCTTCGGGGGCCAAAAAGGAGGCGTGGGGTGGTTTTCCCATGGCTGTATGTGTGTGTGGGTGTGTGTATTTCTGATAAAATTGCAAACTTCTCCCCCCTTGGTTTCTGTGTGTTTGAGCAGAAAGAAGAAGAAGCTAGAATTTATGGAATTTTTCTGCTTTTGTATTCTTTTTTTGGATGAAAAGTTCCTGGACGATAGATTTCTCTGGCAAAATAGTTTGCTGCATACTTAAGGGGGTTGCTTCCACATAAAGTTCATCATGTCGATAAGGCAGACTCAGATAAGGAATATAGTCTCAGTCTCATTAGACGCAAGGAAAACACTTGCCTTATTATAAACATGATTATTATAACCCACCCCCCTCCCCCATATTCCTTATTCCTCGAACACATACGCACTTTTACTGGCTTATGTGTGTGCACAGCATTTGTCCTTGTCTCTGTGTTTGAGTTTCATTATTAATTTTCCTCGTTTTTTCATATTTTTCGTATTTTTATTTTATCACACACAAACACACACATAGGCTCAGGGGGTGGAATGCACACACACTCGCGCATTTAGTTTATTGTACAAAATAATATTTGATAGAAAAAACTTTTAGTGCCCGACAGAGATGGAAATAGTTTTTGTTGGCTTTTCGCTTTTCGGTTGGTCGGAAAATAGACTGTATGTGTGTGTGTGTTTGTGTGGGGGGGGGGAACGGAACATGGTTGGGGGAAATTAATTTTTCACTCTGCGGCCCATGCGCCATGGAGATGTAAAAGTGAAAATGATGGAAAAATATCAAACCGTTAACGATTTTGAGGCCTTCGAAGCTCTCATTACACGGTTTTCCACTCCCCCTCCCAATAAATATGTGTTTGTTTGTTTGTTTTTCCTGCGCGTTCATTGGTTTCTAATGAGATTTCCTACTAATGAGCAGGGCACCTAGAAACTGGCAATGTTTTTCCGATTTTTTTTCCTTTTTCGCTCGGCTTAGGGCTTTGGGCAAAGGATTTTAGCTGCTACGTTAAAGGGAAAAGGAAATTCTACGAAATTGTTTCGACATACTTCTTATTTCTTACATTTCAGATGATTACGATTTCTGAAGAATTAGGGAAGTTTTCTTTTTCAATTATGGGTCTCCTTTTCATTACAGTCATTATATTTCTCACATTATTTACCTATTTTATTCCAATTAAAAGACAATTATTCTACATTTACTCTATTGGCCATATTTTCGATAAACTTATTCCGCAATGTGAGTCATCATTTAATTGGCTTTTGATATTCCAACAGATAATTATGGCAGTTATCCGATATCTTCCTGCTTTATCAATTTGAGTTCCTTATCTCAAAGCCCTAAAAACTTATTTCAACCAATGAATTCCTAATCAAACAGACTTCAAAGTAACACCCCAATCTTGGTACATCAAAAAACTAAGCAGCATCTCACGTACATTGCGCATTTCTAATAAAGTAATTTGTCGCACACATTTCCCGAGGAAAGGCGACACTAAAACCCGTCCCCTTCGAACGATTCCTCCCCCGCACTAGAAGGAAAACTAACAGAGATCATTACTCCCGAGCTGGGGGTTGATTTTCCATTCCCCCGACACATTATTATTCCCATTTCCATTTACATTTTTGAGTCCACGCATAATTTCAATTTGATTTTCATCAGAAATATTAATTGCAATCCACATACCACATATTTCGGGCGGGGGTGTCCTGTCAGGGGCTGCTTTTGTAGGTGTAAGTGTGGCATATGGGCTGAAAGGGGCGTATCAATCATAAGCGACATTTCGTCAGGACACGCTAGCTTAAGGGTGCGAAGTCGGTTCGACCCAGTTCGAATTTAAATTTAATAATTACTGTTGTGGTAGCCAACGAGTTGGGCGGGTGTTTCAATTCATAATTCGTGCCTCGTAACGGAATAAAAACCAATATGGAAAAAAGTATTTTTAAATGTATTCACAAATAAATTTGGATGTATTGTTATAACTAAGAACTCATAGTTTCTAATAGAATTTGTTATTTAAGAAATAATATATGGAGGTAATATCTATTTAATTGTCATTCTAACTAAAATCCTTGAGGTTTTTTTTGACTTGAATGATATTTGTTTGTTAGAATTAAAACTAAATAGTTGAATGCTAATGTAAAGATTACCTCATACATGGGGTTAAAAATGTTAATTTTACGAGTTAAAAGTGCCACAAATGCAAGTCCATTCAGATTTATAATGATTTGAACGCCACATTTGCGATTTGTTTACATTCCGCCCGCAGAAAGGACATGCGCCTACGAAAAGGGGAAGCCCCTCTTTTCGGGCGGTGCGTGCGTGCGAGTGATTCCAGTCGAGTGAAAGCGAAAGTGAAAGTGCCGGCAACGGCAACGTCACAGTGGACATGTGTGAGAGTGAAAGTCGATGGGAAAACCTTGACCACGACCACGACGGCGACCAGGTCAAAATAGACCAGACCGAGTGGGTGGTTGGGTGGATGGGTAGGTGGGTGGTCCGATCCGATCCGATTCGATTCAGCTGCCGACCAATGAGTTGCCAACGGCTCCGTTCCGACTGTTGCTGTTGGACTATTTTGCTAGCCTGGTTCGTTCAACCGGCGATTTTCTAGCCACACTCGTACACATATGACTACGACCGGCTGCTCCAAAAAAAGAGAGTCACCTTCATGGCGCAGGCGCAGATCCAGAAGGACGTTCGCAGGACATCGGGGGAAAAAGGGGGGAAGTCACTTTCACTTTTTCGGCCTCTGATGTGTGTTGAATGCCGAGTGGCAAAAGACTAAAAGAAAATGGAAAAGGGGTGGCCAAGGTTGGACCCACACGCACACACACATGCACTTGCAGCTGGAATGTCCTTCGAGGTACAAGTATCTGTAAGTCAATCCGTCAATCGGGGAAAGCAAACAATCACTGGCCGTATCTCTGGGGAGAGTTTATGACTCAGATTTATGGAGATGTCCAGTGAAGCAAATCCTAATCCCTTCGGGGACGCTAAGTTAATCATAACGATTGCCTAAACCACTTTATTCCTGCATTTCAATATCTGATTCTTCATTAATAAATTACCATTTATTAATTAATTTATTTAATTTCCACTAAAAATTCTGATTGAAATTCATCCAAACCAAAACCTCAAACAGTGAACAAATTTGATTTGGTGTAACTCTTTTATTGACTTGAACAAATGTCACCCGTCTTTAATTCAATTAAAAAGTTAAGATGTTATAATTAATTGAAATTGAGTTGGGTTGACTGATTTTTTAACAACTCAATTGTAAGAATTCATTCATGAGCTTTTTGACTCAACACCCATATAATTTTTAGAAATAAATATCACCCTTTTACAACTTCACTTCTTTAAATAATATTTTCTTTATATTTGGTTGTCTTATTGTTCTGAATTTATAAGGCATACAGAAAGTGTTTTACCGTAAGCCTTTTTGTTGCAACAGTTCCCTATATTTCAAATATATTCCAACTTAATTGTTTCTTACAATAAACCTAGGTAATCATGTTATTAAAGGACAATTACAAAAATCCCCTTTTTAATATCCCTAAAAGGCGTTCAAAAAGGGACTTCTTACCTGTGTTTGGATTCAGATCCCTTCAGAGTCCGCAGAAACCTTTCAATTAGCCAATTTCCACATTAAGGAACATTGAACAACCCCCAAACTCTTTCAAAGAATATTTATGTTATGTTATTCCTATTTCTACTCAAGTCAAGAAGTTTCGGCTTTTGTGACAGCAACTCGAAGGAAGGAAACCGAAAGAATTTGTGACTCTTTTCATTGGGAGTGCATAAATTAAAATAACAAAAATATAACTGCCGCTGGCGGAACACCAATAACAACGATGGCGGTACACGAACTTCTGCAGTAGGAAAAACAAATTGAAAATCCTATCGAACAATGATAAATTGGCACGACAACAATGATATCGGGGGGGAAAACCTTCCAAGTTGCGCGGTTGTTGCTCATTCGTGTGTCGCCGTCCCTTTCTTTTGTAGTTCTAGTTGTAGCTGTGGTGGTTACTGAAAATTTCAAAAAAATAAAAGAGAGGAGGAAAAAAGAAAACTAAAAGGGGCGGAGCAATAATGGTTTTCCGGGCAGCGCTGCTCTATTGTCGCCGTATGGATTTTTTTTAAGGGAAATTCTATGATTTTTGATATTTTGGGGTGTTTTATTGAGGTTTTTTTCGGTGATATGGGTAGGGGCCCAGTGTGTGTGTGTGTGTGCTCGCGTATTAAACGATATAGAGGGTTAGGTCTGTGTGTGTCGTTGGGATTTTAGTATCATTTGCTATTTGCTGTTTTGATTTTCAACCGGCACTGGCAATTGATAGCCGATATTTTTTGTTATTCCGCTGCGTCATGCGGCAGTTGACAACGAGCTAGCCACTTGGCAGGACACGATCCTGACACACGCCAAAAAATAAAAAAGAAAGTGCGCATGCGCAAAAGTGACTTGCATAACGCGAACGTAACGAGAGCATCAAGTGATCATCGATCGAGGCAGTGATTTTTGAAAATGTTCAGTGAACGGAAAAACGATTGACAATAAAAAATAATTTAGAGAATAAATATTTCGGATCGCGACAAATCCAAAAACATACTTAATGAGTAGGTTAATATACAAATTACAAGTTATTATGGATAATTAAGAAAAGTGTTTAGTGATCCTCAAGAATAATTATTTAATTGTTTTTCGGCTGTAATTCAATCCTATTTTATTGGATTGATAATTGTGAATCCATAACATTTACAATATTAAAATTTAAAATTTGTATCACCAAGTTTTTTATTTTTTTGGACTAAAAATTGTAAACCATCTAAAAAGTTTGACGTCACCTATAAAATATTAAAATGTTAGCTTATATTTAAAATCTTTTTTTAAGTTTTTTGCATTTATTTCTCTTTTTTAGGGGTTTCATTTGGCAACCTCATATTAATTTTCAACCGAAATACTTCTACAATACCGTCAAATATCTAAGCCATAAGCAAAACCAATCTGACGTTATTGGTTTCCCCTAGGCCAGTGTCAAGATTATTTTCTGAGTCCTCCAGCCCCCCGTCCAAAACTGGGTTGATATGTTGGTTTGCCAAATTAGCCGCTTCTCTTGCGGAGTCTCAAAATATACAGTGTACACTGTACACATGCACATTCACTATATATACCTAGTCAAGGAGTACATGGTTTTGTTTACACTCTGTTGGCATTTTCATTTCGAACATTTTTCTTGGGCATCCTCCTACTCGTGGCACGAAGAGATGGATATAAGGCAGGCAGGCGGGCGAAAAAAATCAAATAAAATAACATCAAACTACCTTAGGCTTTATAAAAATCCCAACCGAAATACAAGCAACACTCGCCCACACACACAAACGCACAAAGATACTGAAGAGAAATGCGCACATCCTGGCAGGCATTTTTGCTTAACTCCTCAAAGTGCCAGGTCCTGGGTCATAAGGGGGGCTAAAAGAGGCAGGGGCTGTGAATCGGGGGGAGGGGGTTTTGGCCTCAAGAAATTGTATAAAAGCAAAGTCAACAACAACTACAACGACAACATGTAGCTGGAGAACCAATTTCCAACCATGGAAACTTAATTTATGTCTGCAGCATAGTTGAGAATATTTTTCTTTCTTTCCTTCTTTTTGCCTACTCTTTGCCTCCCCAAACCCAACAAACTTATTTTCCCCCTACCCTTTGACTGCTCCTCCTTGGCTTTTCTCCTTTTTGCCTGAGCTCAAATAGGAAAAAGAAATTTTCGGTTTATTTCGAAAAATTTTTCATGCACAGAAAGAAATTTAGTTTGTTTTTTATTTTGAGATTGTTTAATAAGCCTCAAAAAATAACGATCAAGTAATATTTAAAAGCAGGATTTAAAGCACAGCAAAATAAATATTTGTACTTCATACATTGGTAAAACATGCATATTGATCGAGAAAGATTTGTTCTAAGTTTTATTCCCTTGTTATATTTTAGAATACAAATTTCACAAATATTTTTCTTCCTGTGCAACTCCGCCTATTTTTGCCTCCCTGTTGCCAGGCATTTTCCCCCTCGTTTCCCCCTCATCCCTTCTATATTCCTTTTTGCTTTTCTTGAGAATCAAATTTATTTTACCAAGTCATGTTGAAGAAAATTTTTATAAGTTTTATGCTCGACTCAAGTGATGGTGTTGGTTGGGTGGGGAGGGAAAAGTGGGTGGGAAATGGCTGTGTGTGTGTGTGGGTGAGCTTGTGTGGCGCAAAAAGTTTTCTGTGTGCGCCACACGAACACACACACCCACACACAAGAAAATAAGCAAAATTTGTATTCCTTAAATCGGATGACTTTGTATAAATTTTCGTGTGCGCCACAATGGGGTTGTGTGTATGTGTGTTAGTGGGTGGCAGCTGGGGCGCTTAGTAAACAAACAAGAAGAAGAAGAAGAAAAAAAGAAAGTTTCTTTTCCCCCCATATGTATGTGTGCTATACATATATGTATATATATATAATGGAAAAATTTTTCATAGAATTTGCACAAAAATGAAAAAGTGTAGCCACAGCAAAATGGTATGGGGAATGGGAAATGGAAGATGGGTGGATTTGGGTGGGAATAATGATGATGGAGAAGAAAAAGCAAAAGAAGGCGGACAGAAGCAGAAAAATGAAATTAAGCGCATACGGAAATGAGACACAAATATTCTGCGTATGTGTGTGTGGGCTTATGCGATTGTGTATGTGCAGGAGAAATATTTGAGTGGCATTCAGTTGAAGCCAAACTAAAATTGAATGGAATCCTTGGTCAAATATTCTGCTTTACTCTTTAGGTTTTCCTTTCTTTTTTGGAAAAATAATGCGATCTAAGCCTCAGTCCATTCATTATGTACACTGAAAGAAAATAGTGGGGGGTTTTATGAATAAATTGGTTGAGTATTTGAAGGGATTGAGGTTTTTCTTCTTGTTATTGTTATACAGATTAATAATGTTTGCTATTTTGAAAAGACATATTTAGTACCATTCAATAATATATATTTATTTTTAATTTTTATTAAGTAGAGATTATATAATTTTATGGTAAAACCCTCTGTATAGAGTGGCTAAACTTTATATAACTACATACATACATGCACATAAATAACCCTTAACCCATCCCTTTAAATAAAACCCCCCGCTAGCATGGCTTCGACTTCAATTAAAAAGTTATCCACTACAACTATTCTCCCTCTCCATCTTTTCCACCCTTTCCCCACACAGTAATATCATCCAAAATGGCTGCATCCATATATGCCACCCCACCGCCAGATCTGAGCAGCGAGGACACTGCTCTCTCCGACGTCTCCAACTCATCGACACTCAACACGAACAGGAATAACAGCAACAATCCCCATGAAGCCACAGGAGCAACAGCCACAGTACCAACAGGAGGAGGAGGAGGAGGAGGAGGAGGTGGCGGAGTGGGAGGCACTTCACCCACCGCCCACTTGGTCAAGGCAATGGAGCTGGAACTGGAGCCCCAGCCAGCGGGAAGCGGCACAAATGAGGAGGTGGACCAAGCAGAGGAGGGGCGCAAGGAGGCCGAGGAGCAGGAGGATTCGGGCGATGCCAATATGGCCACAATGGCGGCAGCCATGCAGCTGCAGCTCCTGGAGGCGCTGAGTGATGCGGCCAAAAAGCGACGCAAGCAGCACAATCCCAGCCGCCTGGAGGCGCTTAACTTGAGTGGAGAACCCTCCAGTGAAGTGGGAGTGGCCCAAAAGCGGGCCGACTCCTCCACCGTGGACTACGAGGAGAAGTTGTCCAAGATGTTCCTGCCCAAGTCCATCGAACAGCTGAAGGAGACCTTCGAAATGCTGCAGCAGCAGAAGCAGGAGGAGCCCGAACAGGAAACGGAAATGGAAAGGGAAGCGGAACCGGAAACGGAAGCCATGGCAGACATATCAGACATACAGGGAAAGCAGCGCGAGAATCCCTATCACACCTACTGCAAGCAGTGCGGCGAGAGCTTCGAAACGGAGTTCAAACTCAGCCTGCACATGCTGCAGGATCACGGGGAGGAGAGGTCGGGCGAACAGGATCCCGCCGACTTTCTGGCCTCCATCAAGGTGAAGCTGGAGCGTGCCGATATAGCCAGTCCGCAGTTGCAGCAGGATCAGCACATGCAGCAGGACATGACCAATGGCCATGGCAAGGATTTGGAGCGCGAGCAGGAGCACTGGTTCCAGGCGATGCAGCAGGCGGCAGTCCAGCAACATCATGGCCCACAAATGCCGCCTGCCTTTCCCTTTCCCCCCGAGGCAGCCTTGGGTCCCGCCGGCTATCTGCCCCTCCTCGGCATGTCCGGATTTCCCGGGGTGGATGGACTCAATCGTCCGCCGCTGCGCATCTTCAATCCGGAGGCCTACTGCGAGCTGTGCAACAAGGAGTTCTGCAACAAGTACTTCTTAAAGACCCACAAGGCCAACAAGCATGGCATCTTCGATCCCGTCGGCGAATCGAGCAGCAGCAACACTTCCAGCCATCACAATAATAATAATAACATCACCAGTAGTAACAACAATAATAATAGTAACTCCAATCCCGGCGTGAGTTCCATGAGTCAAATGTTCCAGTTGCAGCGAGAGGCTCAGGTTTTGGCCAGCAAGCAGGAGACACCACCAATTGGAGGATCTTCATTGGCGCCAGTGGCCTCGGTCCATTGCGACATCTGTTCCAAGCGGTTCACCAACATCTTCGCCATGCGACGCCATCGGGCCAAGCAGCATGACAACCAGGATTCACCCACCAACGAGGCTTCATCGCAGCAGCCGCCTGCCATTAAGCAGGAAATACCACAGGAAGCGGAAATGAAACCCTATCAGCTGCCCGAAGGATTCCGCGAGGACTTCACCTTGGAACAGGAGGAGCTGAGCTTTGTGCCGCCACCGCGAAAGTTGCCCTCGCATCTCCACCAGCAGGCCAAGGACTCCAATTTCAATCCCGACAAGCTGCGTCGCCTGGGCGTCCAGTTTCCCGACTTCTTCTGCGAGCTCTGCTACAGGGAGTACGGAAATCGATACTTCCTGCGCACCCACAAGTGGAAGCGCCACGGCCTGTTTGTGCCAGCAGAGGAGGCGACTCCGCAGCAGCAGAGCGGCAGCGGCAAGGAGGAGATGCCCAGTGCCTGGCCCTTTATGCCGCTCAATCTGATGCTGGCCAAGGCAGCGGCTGCTACGATGGATCAGCAGCAGCAGGAACGCGAACCGGAAACGGAAGTAGCCACCGGTGACTCGGAGCAACCCAGCAAGAGGATCAAACTGGAGCAGCAATCAACACCACCGGAGAACTACCAGGATGAGGAAAAGCTAAATGGCTCTGTGGTGGGTCTGCAGAATCTGCAGAAGCTGCAGTCCATGTTGCAGCAGCTGAACGACATTAATGGCAAGCGACCTTTGCCCTGTCACCTCTGCGGTCAGGAGCAGGAAAATCAGTATGCTCTAAGGGCTCACCTGATGACCGAGCATGCTGGCCAGATGCAACTGCCCATGACCATGCCCATGCCGATTCCACTGCCCGATCAACAGCATCCCATGGGATTGTATCATCCGCAGGGTAATCCATTAACTCCCCCTGCTCCTGGTGCCAGATCTCCACTAGCCACTAGCGATCTGCGCTGCCAGCAATGCGATCGGGATTTCGCCACCAGCCAGGAATTTAAGCAACATATCGCCGAGGTTCATTTGGGTCGCAACGGAGGACTGAGTAACAGCCCCCTGCGCGATGGTTTCTTCACGCCCGAACGCCCAGTGGCGCCCTCGGCGGGCGGACCCGGAACCCCAGCCGCTCCGCCGCCAGGAAATCGTCCTGCTTACACTTTGACGCCCACTAGCAGCTACTGTGAGATTTGCAACAAGGAGCTGTGCAACAAGTACTTCATGAAAACCCACATGCAGCGGATGCACGGCATCGAGATCGAGAATGGAGCTCAGATTGGCGGCGTGGTGTGCAACATTTGCAACAAGGAGCTGTGCAGCAAGTACTTCCTGCGGGTGCACAAGCACAACACCCACGGCATCATCGAGGAGGGATCGCCGCTGCCACAGCCGAGGGGTCAGAATGGGGTGAAAATAGATGCAGCTGCCGCAGCAGCAGCATCGCAGCCTCCACAGGATCAGGAGCTCAACGTTTCACCAACTGCAACAAATGAAGGTGGGGGTGGAAGTGGTTCCTCCAATGCCAACCACGAGGTTTGCCCCTTGTGCTCTCGCCAATTCCGCAGCTTCAAGTGGCTGCGTTCCCATCTGATGAACGAGCACGGAACTGCAGGAGTGGAGAGGCTACGGGAAATGGACACCACCTCCAGTCAGAGTTCCTCTGCTCGCAGCAAGCCCAATAGTCCCACGCTCAAGATTCCCAACGGCTCGGGATCAGCGGGATCCGGAGTCGGAGCCGGAAGCACCGCTCCTAATCTCGCCCAGGCCCTGCAGAACCTCAATGCCCAGCATCTCTTCGGGCAAATGCAACAGCAGCAGCAACAGCAGATGCCCAAGATGCCACCTTTGCCGCTGCCCGGAATGTTTGGCGAGCAGGCTGCCCGGTTCAAGGAGTACCAGTGCTCACTGTGCCCCTTCACCACGCCCTACTACGCCTTCCTCTTCATCCACGAGCGCTCCCATGCGCTGCTGAACAATGGCGGCGAGGAGCTACCCCTGGAGACGCCGCCGCCGGCTCAGGCAGCGCCGAGGAGTTCGGGTAAATCCCGCAGCAAATCCAGCAAGGCGGTAGCACCACCACCACCGTCCATCAAAGCGGAGGAGCCCGAGGCCCAGTTAGAGCAACCTACCAACCTAAGCACCTCGGCGAACAAGGTCGCCTCCCATTCCCCCACCACTGGAGGCGCAGGATCTCCGCCCAGCTCAACTTCACCCAAGATACAACGCCGTCGCTCCTCCACCTCAAAGCCACCAACGACGACGACGCCTAATGGTTTGGGAAGTAATAACCATCGATCGGCGGCCACCTCACCCTTCGAGGGATGCGGCGAGTTGGCCAATGGAAGTGGCAAGCCAGCCAGCTATGCGCAGCCGGATCGGGCAGAGGAAGCATATCAGATGCAGGCCTTCCACCTGCAGCCCGCCGACGCCGACTCGGAAATGCAGTTTGCACCTGCTCTGGTTTATTTACCCGTGAGGGTGAGGGCCTCCGAATCGGCCACGCTCAGCTTCCGGCTCACACCGGCCTAAGAGGTGCCACATGCAACAGGTTAAGTGTTGCCAGCGTAAGTTCAAGCCATAGAAATCCGAAAAATCCAGGGATTGGGGCACTAGAAATATTTTAAAGAATCCCTTGAGTGCCCCAATCTCAGGAACCACCCCCCAAGAAATCTAAATAGTTAAGCAAACGAAGTTAGGAACATGAACAAGACAAAATAGTGGAACTACAAAAGACTGAGTGCGCATATTAGTTGAGCTCATAATTAAACTTAAATATATACAAAAAGCATAATACAAAAATCAATCAATATCTAAGCCCAAAAGTAAACCATGTCCAACATGGCGCACTGATCAAAAATCTATATCCTATAACTCAACAAGAACAAGTCCGTTTCAGCTGGCAACACTGCGCCTACCATCAAAATAATGCAAATAACTATATATTTTGATAGACGCATGACAAAAAGCATAAAGCATAACATACCGCAACCTATAACATATATCTCTAGTGATTAACTATCAAAGTTCCTATGCGTAATAGTAATTTATCGTAAACGAGTGGCAGAAACCGAAGAACCGAAAGGAGATGAGTGGGTGAGAAGAATCCAAATACGTACATAGAGTAGTCGAGAAGGGGAAGGCAGAAAGTGAAGGCAGAAATTACTATATATACTACTTAGAAGGATTATATATCGTAGTAGCAGCAGCATAAAATCAAAATTACAATTATACATTTCTCATCTAGTATGGCGTGGGTTTATATAGCATATATGTACTTGGCATCATAACAATGCTATGGAAAAGCTTCAGCACAAAAAAACATTGCTCAAAATCAAAATCTTTTTAGCGAAGACTACACTCTTAGGATTTTCTGAAAGAGGGCCCTGGAAATCTCTACCATCCTCTATATAAACACTCTTATATTAACCGCATCTGAATCGAGTTATATCCCAGGAAATGTCTTCACTAAAACATAATTCCAGCGCACAATGTGTACATAAAAAGTTGTTAAAGATAACACCATAAAGAGTTCAGATTTTCGATAGCGAGGGGTAATACGAAATAGAAGATGGGGAAACTAGCGCCAGAAGGTAAAAATTAAAAACATTTAAACAACTCAGGGCAAAAGTACAATGACCACTAGTACTTTTTTATACAAACATATTTAAAGAAACCAAAAAATACGCAAGTAAAATATAAACATAATAATAAATTAAATATATTATGAAACGTTAAAAAAAGATAACAAAAATGCTACCTCAGACGGACTTGAAAACAATAATTTAAATAAAATGAATTTATAAAGAAGAATCGACGAAACCATTAAAAATTGCAGCAGAGGCAACCCTTAAAGCTAGATAACATTTTTTGTAGTAACTTTACCTCAAAACAGAATTACATTTAACCCATACTTTATTCAAATTCTTAAGTATATGCTATGATTTAATTCAACATTCTAAGTTTAAACATTCCAAAGACCAGAACTAGTCGCATAAACAAGAACCAAACCATTCTAGTCAGAAGCATAAGAACTAACATAGTCTAAAATATTTTAAACCAGAAGCCAAAACAGATCCATCAACTGTTCAGTTTTGGGTGACGATTCTCGCCGATTATTTTTTAGTGTTTAAGGAATTTGTTCTTCGGCGAGAAGAGTGGCCCAGGATGAGTTGATGGCTCCAAGAGGAATGCGGATCGGCGAGGAACTATTTGCTATATTTGAAATTTCCTTTTTTTAAAAACGTGTGTTTTTTAAAATGCTGCGTGCCTTTTAGCAAATACTTCGCCGTTCCCACAACACCAAAAATTTGACCTTCAAAATCGAAATTAAATTTTACATAGGACTACATAAATAGATTGTAATTTTATTTTATATTCCATTTACTTCTTAGTTCTTATATCTTACTTTAAATGTGTATATATGTATTGAATAAATGTCATGCAATTTGTATTCGTTAATCTTGAGTTTCCTTTATTATTTCGATGTTGATTTCTGATATCCCAAATTATTAGGCACCGCATGTATTTTTTAACCCTGATTGAAGTGTGCCGAACTCGAGTCCAAGGCCTAAAAAATCAGTATCTTTAACTTATAGACTGAGAAGTTGTCGCCGATAGGGGAAGACCTTTTTCTTTGTTTTCGAAAACGTTCCCATAGGGGACCTTCATTTTCCGGGGTGTTATATGCTGGTCCAACGCCTTGGCTACTTCAATTATTAAATTGCCATTTGATTCAATTTGTCAACAATAGCTTGAGAGCCTATCTGCGACTTGTTTAATCATTTTAAAAAACTCACAGGCAGCTGCTTTTTAAATATAACCAAAAACAGCACCCTCATAAAAAAAAGAAAAACATAATAAGTGAAACTGTTTCCGGTTTTGGGTCAGGCCTTGACCAACCCCCTGATTAGTATGTTTGCATTAAAAAATACATCTTTATGAATGGCTATATTTCGTTGGAGGAAATACAAAAAAAAACAGAAACTACGATAACAAAAACCCAGCATGGTCATGTGAGGGTCAAGTTGGAGGGTCGCGTCGCCAGCTGCAGTTGTTTGAAGTTCTAAAAAAAGTTCCTAAGCCGGAATCAGAATCGATATTGCCATGGCTATTGATTAAACGCAGCCACCCTCTGGGCGAGGAAATTCGCCCGTTTTGGCAGTTAATTATTTGTCACGTGTCCATGCAAATTTCATCTCATTGATTACGAACGACAGATATTCGATACTTTTCCGGCTGCCGGCGCTGCAATTAAAGATTGACTCGAGCAACTACCCCCAGGTTGACCAGGGGGATGGTAGGCAAATTTCATAAATATTTTTCCGATTTTTCCCCGAAATTATTTCTATTGAATTTTTATGGCAATTTAGGAAAATCGCACTGCCAACTATTTTTAAGGGCGCAAACAATTGACCAAATGCAGCGCTACCCCATGGTGCATTTGCATCGATTTAAGGGTGTTCGCCGCTATTTGCATGTTTAAAAGTGAACTGGAAAAATTGCAATTTATATAAAAATAAAATGAAAATGAAAAGAAAGGAAAGGAAAAAATTGCATTTGCCAAGGGTGATTTGGCAGCAACCCCATGCAAATTCCATTCTTCGTTTGGGCTCGGGTTTTTGGCAATGGCTTACCATTATTTTTATTTCCTTTCTTTTTGGCATGACTGCAACCCCCACACAGCGCACAAATCAAAAATAATAAAAATATGTTTTTTAAATATAAATATAAATAAATTTTACAACACGAAACCCAAAAAAATTACTTGCAACGTACCTTGAGCATAAATCAAAATTTTGTATGACCTTCGGTAGGGTCAAGCTGCAAAGACACAAAAAATCAAAAATACAATTTTACTAGCGCTAAGCAAAAAGAAAGCAAAAAATCAAAAAATTACACTCTTAAAAATATTTTAGTTGTAGGCTTAAGTCAAAGCAACAAAATGCATTGAAAATTAATAATTTAATAGATGTTGAAGTTGGAACAAGAGAAGAAGAAAATGAAGAGATATGAAGAAGCAACACAAAGACGTGAGAGCGCAAATCAAAAGCCACGAGCAAAAAATCAAAACAAAATTAAATTTAAATTTAATATTAAACAAAAACAAAAACCCAACAAAATAACGTTTACTTAGCAATTGGCAAATGTATGAGATATATACAGCTATATATCGATATATATATATATATTACATATACTTAAACAATTTTACTTTGTTATTATGTAAAACTATGTGTGAGAAAAAATCAAAAGAAACCAAGGAAAACTTGAACAAAATAATTTATATTATATGTAAAATGTGAAATGTGAAAGAGCAAAGAATCAAAATTGGGCGAAACCCCAACATTTTTCATTTTCATTGTAAAAGAGCATTTATCAAAAATTGTATGTGTTTTAAATTGATTATATTAAATATATATACAAATACATATAAATAAATTTAAATTTTTGTGCTTTGGGTGGAGAAGGGGATTCCTTTTGAATTTACTGCGACTTCCTTTAGTTCGACTTCTCTGGAGCAAAAATGCACTCGCGTACAAGTGTCATCATCTCGAGCTTAAAAAGTGCTTAGGTCGCCCTGTGATTCCCATTCAAAGTCGGCGAGGGACTTGCCTAAGCTGATTTTGCGGCCCTTGAGACGGGAATCCGACCCACAACCCCCGTCATTCCCGGCAAACATGGAGAAAGATTCAGCTTTTCCGAGTTTTGACATTTGCTTTCAGCTTTTCAATATTTTCAAAGGAGACAGGGATGAACAGATTGCACTTAGAATAATGCCCAAAGATATTGGAATAAATAGTGGGAATACTACTTATAAATAATTTGAATTCAATCTTACATATCCCGTTTTTGGTTTGTAAACCAAAAAAAATCGCTGAAAATGCGGAAAACTCCAAGGAAATTATTTTTCACTGTGCAAGGCGGTGAAGGGACCTCAATCCTCCACCCCCAGAGAACCGGAGAAGTTCCTTCCTTTCGCTTGTTGCTACCCCAAGCAGTTCGAGCATTGCGAAATCAAAGTATGTCAATATTTGTATTACATGGGACACTCACTCGCAGGAGCGACTGTGAATGTAACTGTAACTGTAATGGGCAAGCACAATGCCTGTGGAAATGTCTTATCAATAATTTTTGAAAAGAATGCGACGAAATCAATTCCGATCGGGGGGCTGGAGATGTGCGTCTGACGCGTGTTCCTGACAGCTCCATGGTCCTCTTGTCCTGTCGTCCCCTGTCCAAAACTTCCTGTTGCCAAAAAGGAGAGGAAACAAACTTGTTCATAATTTGGCAGCGGAAGAGGAAAGAATGTTTTCTGCATAGTTTTCGGTAAAAGGCACTGGTGAGTATTATAAATGTGTAGTGCTATATAAGTTGGAAAAGTTTTTGGGTACAGTTGCCTTCGACTTTTGGCATTGTTACTTAAAAGTTGTATACACACTTATATTACAGTATACCATTGAAACCTTTGTGAACTAAAATTTAACTTGAATGTCGAAACTAAAACTAATTACTTACTGGTGAACCATATGTGACAACTACCCCATATTTGTAATGCATTATACATTAAACCCATCCATCAACGACAGCCCTACAGGCCTCAAAAAA